TTAATAGAATTAGTATGAGCATTTAGACAATAAATATGCATATAGGTATTTCAACGGCTGAATCGATTGGAATGTTTTATTTTACTGTGCACGTTATTAGTTGATTATAAGAAATTTCAATTTCGCCGTGTTCGGTTTATGATGAGCCGTTTAAGCTAACCCTGCGACACAAATAATTGTTGATTTCATAAATCAGAACTAATAATATGGATTATAACTTATAAACCATATCATGTTATTTGTTCCAACCGARCCTGTATTTAATCATCTATTTTGTGTTTATGAAAATAGATTATACAGTAATAGGAGTTATAGAGATAGGTACACAACAAATAGTTGTTGTACCTACCTACAAAAAAATATTTGAAGAAGCAGTAGATAACGAAAATCTACACACATCTAAAATATATATTTAAGAACCATGAAATAAATTATAGAGAAATCGTAAGTCGAAACCGTAACAAAAATGTTAGATAGGTAGGTACATACCTACAATATTGTGGTCTGTGGACGACCGGAATGTATAAAAAACTGATAAAAAATTTAAAATTTTCTTTTCAATTTTTTCTTCAAGCGATCGTTTAGTCTAAAACTTTATAATATGTATATAAGAATATTTATTTTAAAAAATCAATGGTTTTTGACTCGAATATGTAAATGTTTGTAAATAGGTGACCTTGACTACATTATTGTAATTTGATGTATGGTTTTATAAAATGAATTGACCAAAAACATGTGTAAAGTGAGATTGTGTAATGTGTGTATTGAATCATATATAAGGTGTATTGTACATAAACTCTTCGTATAATTTCGAGTGCCTAGAAATCGTATTAAAGTTTAAATACGTTCAACAAACGAAAACAGTCTTGAACACAAAGCAGCTTCGAATGCTCCAATAAGTCGGAGCTAAATACACGGCRTTTTATGCCGGGTTTCGTACGTTGCGTATCCCGTCGCATATTTTGCCAAAACGCAAGCTGGTTGTCGTTTACCGCCGCAGATTAAAACACGACGTATTACATAATTCGTGTATCGCTACTTCAATATAAAACAATGACTTCAACGGAAAACGAAGTGTATAGACCCGGCCTCATTAAAGTGTTATGATATATTAATGCAAATAACCCTGTATAGAAATTAGTATATAGATGATGCCTATCAATACATCTATAATTTATACAATAATTATAATACAACATTACAACTTTGAAAAATGTAAACATTTGGATAAAAACAATATTATAATAACTAGCTATACATATATACATCAATAATGACTGTATACAGACATATAGATCAATAATATAACGCATATTACATCAATTTATTATTATGCCAGYGAAATGTTTTCTTTCTTTATCGTCATGTATATCATATTTATCTATAATATATAGTAATACCGATTGTTTTTTACTACACAAAATGAACCTACTTAATAGTTTTAATAGATACTAGGTATTATATATCGGTATTGAATAATTGGATAATACGTATTTACCGTTTATAGCTACTATATRCATAGTAACAATAATGTATAATAGGAATTTATGTATATTGTATATATATTAATCTGTACACAAAATAACATTAACGATACATCAAAGCTTAAATTATTTAATATCAAGTATAGTATATAAGTAATAATAAAGTACTACTGTAAGCTAATAATCTTGTAGTTGATGCTGTAACAATAAAAAAATAAAAAAATGAAATAAAAAAAATAAAAATAAATGATTAGGTAATTGAAATTATAACCCTTGTACAAGGATCTAAATAATAATATATACTGTAGAGATAGGTACTGTACTAAGCATAATATGTGATGTCGCAGTATTTTACTTATATTTAAGAATTTAACCGACTATATAAGATAAAACTATAATTTATACAAATATCTCTTATAATGACTATTAGTTTTGTGAGCCGTGATTCTGTATGCTATTATATAGTAGGTTTGATTATCTATTGCTGGGTTAAATATAACTTCGTAATTTACTATCAAAAAGAAGCTGACTGCTATTTAATCACTTTGTTATTTTATTATAATATAATATAGCATTGACTATTAATATTAATATTAGTATTCATCATAATACAATTAATACAGCAGTATTTAGCAGCTAGTGTACACTATCTAATAATGTTTCGTTTCAATAAACAACTATATTTATTTTACAATAATGAATACTAATTTAAATCCATCAATTGGGATGAAATTGTTAATTTGAATAAGCAATAACGTTTTCTTTAAATCATCAACCAATTATTATAAATATTATAAATTATTAATAATGTCAGGGTAACTGGTGAGTTATTATAGAATATACAGTTGTGACATCAAGTTCAATTTCAAAATATTTTAAATCAGCACATAAATTYTAATGAATGGCATATAATGGTATTATTAGATGAAATTATTATGACTTAAATAAATTATATTCTGGTAGTAAAAATAGGAAAAATTGAATATTAGTACTTATGTTTAATATTCAAGTGTATAAAACACATATATCTTAGAAAACTAAGAAAATATAACTTTAATACCTTATAATTATTATAATACCCACTATAATATTGGTGCACAAACATATTACATAATTATATGTATCTTAAAGACTTTGATTTTAATGTATTATTGTATTGCTTTGTATATAGTAAGGTACTCATCGTCATACTAAAATAACGCCGTACATAAAATTTAGTTATTGAGTAACACTGTGTGTCTGCGTAAAACATTAAAACGCGTTATGGCAAAAATACATATTATTATGACATACGATCATACAACAATGTATAGATAATACGAATGTTATGCGATGATCACACTGTATACGAGGCAGAGTTGAAATATTAGCGCTATTTAGAGCGTTAATTATGATGAAGGCGGTGTCCGCCTAATATATAACAATGCAGCTTAATTTATACACCTATAGGTCATATGCGCACTGTGTACCAATAATTATATAGCCATATACCTATACATTGCGTGTGTTTAACGTTTWAGGTTTGCGCAATACTAAAAAATTAAAAAAATTACGATAWAATAGCGGCAATTGACAAGTAGTACATTCGAATTCTGCTTGAAAATTGCAAATAATAGGTAATATTTGCGAAACCGGAAGAGAAAGCGATGATAATAACGTAATTAACTCAATGATATAAATCCAAATAAAGTGAATAAACTCAACATTTCAATGGCTGGTAAGGAGGGTGGAAACGAGATGCAGCTGAATGGCAGTTAGAAAGCCTTTTCCGTCGATATGATATAGTATTCATCTGAATTCTGTATTATCGAACGAGCCACAAGGACAGAATAATATAGTATGATGCAAGTAATATAAATATCGATGTTTGAATAAATAGTATCCACCTGAAAAGCGAACTAAAAATAGTTCCATCAAATAAAAGCCATCATCAATATAAGATTACACGTGGCGAATAAACAGTGTGATGTTGGATTTTGTATTATATTATGAACACATTTATTAGAGTTAATAATGTTTAACAATAATTATTACAATTTAAATTTTAACAAAGTTTACTTGATTATAGGCATCTAAGATGTACATAATATACTAYAGTAGGTATACTCGTATCTTGTGAAGATTTTAATAATTTATAAATTATACATTCGTTCGAGACTTGGAAAATCTTAAGAAAACTATATGTATCATATATGTGTGTGTTTTCCGTCTTTATAGCCGTGAGCTTATATAGTATAATATTATGTAGAATTAATAATTATGATTTCTTTTTCATTGTGATGGTCCGACCAATATGATGTACATGTACAATGGGCGAAACGCGTAGGTATTATATATATTTTTTTAATCTACCGATCATACTATAGAGACCTATTATGTACCAACGTATACCTACCTCGGTATAACGCGTCAGAGCGATGCAATTTTCATCACGCGTTTGTATGAATAACATTTTATAATAATAAAAAATGACCATAATATGATGTATTGCAGAACAATATCATAACAATTTGTTTTTTTTTTAATTTTCACTACATCGCTGACTTTATACTTTTATAGTGACTTATATACTATTATAGCCTGTCGGTACCTACCTATACGCTGCACCCATATAGTCATTATAATAATAATATTATTATTGTCCTGCGCAGTACAAACGGTCATATCATATTATAATATATTATTATTATTGTACCATTATAGTATTGTCTCCATATTACAATATACTCGGAACAATTTCGTCTCCGTATCCAAATCATGACTTTTGATGCGCTCATATATGACGTATAGTAATATTATACCTATCGTTTCCATTGTTTGTCCGCACACATTACACATATACGTACATGTATCGCCATATATAAATATTATAAATTATAATATATGCATCACGTACGATCGTATAAACGTTTGTTTACGTGTATTGTAATATGATTGTACTCACATTATAGTATACTTATCGGAGGGCTATACCATTGTATGAAGCTGAAGAGTATATGTATATATATATTTTTTTTAATAACAGCCCCGGGCAGGTTTTTTTTAATTACAGACTCGAGCCGGGGATGACACTCACACACACAAGTGGAGGCGTAAAACCGTATCATTAAACCAAAGACCGCCGTATATATGTATTATATTAAGCACGTCTCGTCGCGCCCTGACAATATAATATAAAACCCGTCGCGTATGTATAGGGATGATTTTTATTATTATTTCTTTTTTACATGTGTGTGTGTTTATATATGTGTACATGTATATTGTCCTGATCGTAAGTGCGCTACACCGCCCCACGCTCGGGGTACACACACACACACACATATATATATTTAGGCGTACGGGGACCGTCAGAGATTTCACGGATCTTAACGCCGCCGCCGCCGATGTTCACGACCAATGGGCGCCGCGTCCGCAAGAACCCACCCTCGCCGCCTCCACTGATTTCAACCCTTATCGGCGGTGGCAGTGGCGGTGGCCCACGGCGGCGCAATCGTCAGTCACCCGACAACGGACCACCGCTTACCATCGACCGTCGACAATCGCACATCCCCTAGCTGCCAAACGYACAATATATCCATCGACATTCTGCATCCTAATATAATATAATTATTTTATATTAAACGTTCGCTSTTAACAATCGRTTGGAATATTACTTACAAGTTACAACATACTTATTACAGACGCCGTTCAAGTATTGTGCAGTAACACAATATACAATATCCTGACCAAGGAAACCAAGGTAAATTGTTATGATTTTCTAATGCTTTTTAACTCTCGACTGTCATAATTACTTTAAAAAAAACAACCATATTTTCTAGTCAAATTACATTGGTTAAGAACGATTATCAACTTTTTTAAATATTTTCAAATTAATCTACAAGATGGAAATAACATGATTTAATTAGTGTAAAACTGTAGATGTATATAAACCACAAAGTTAACCTGATAAGAAATGTATCATAAAAAAGTTTTTTAAATAATTCCTACAAAATTTTAATCATGTAGGTACCTTTACTTATAATACATAATATTAYATAATGATTTTAAAAATCATATGAAGCTAATTATTATATAAATAATAATAATAATAATAAATAAATGTCAGTAATATTGTCGTTGCGTTATAAAATATAGGAACCGGCATAAAAGTATAATATATATAATATGCTTGCGTTAAAAAAATAGRTATATATAATGATTCGATAAAATACTTAAAAACAAAACACCTGCACCCGTCTGACTATACTTAGGTATGTGTTGTATTATTTTGTTTTTATTCTCAAATATTATAAAGCGTTTTACAGCGATTATAGCTACAGCTAGCATATACGCTTATTAAATTCAATGCATTTTTCACCCGMCTAATATGTAATACCTAATAATTGAATTTGAGTAAATATACGTTTTGTGCAATTTTGTAACGGGTCGCATCGTAATATGTATATACATTTTATAACTACTAGTTCATCTCCGAGTCCGAGACCTATTCCTGCGTAAAATGCACAGTTACCCGCCTATATAATATAGAACGTAAACCCGATAATCAAATTAAACTGCAGTACCCGAAAATACGACCCTAGTTATTATGTATATACACACATGGTGTGAGTCATGGCTACTATATTCTACTAAAGGTGCTCATCGTTTAAAATCAAAAACTTACCTATGTCATATATAATAATGATAATAACCCAGTAATGAAACTCCTCCCGGTGTTTACGGGACCTTCTTCCGCGGTGTATCTATGGTCATTATTATATATTATGTAGGTATAAGTACAGAGTACCTATATATATCAAGTGTTCTCGTTCTCGTTCACAGGCTAACTATTTACTAAACTATACAATATAAGTGCATAGATTCACCCACCGACCAACCTTAAACATTAAAACTCTCATGACGTTTTTGATCATTCAATTTAAATTCATGTTATATACAACAGTATATAGGTACTATTGGGTGATTTACCAACGTGTTACATCATGACTCCGAAATTTGTGAACAAAATMATCACTGGTTGYAGGGTGGAGACGATGATTCTTGTATTCGCCAATTTTCTATTTCGAATCACACTTTTTTATAGAATATCATCGTGTTGTATTAATATATTTGCAGCTATAAAATGGTGCACTTATAGGTATTACCAGTATAATATAAAAATATATCAGTCTATTTCCTATTACCTAGTTTTTTTGACAAAAAATATAGACTCACATAGACTTTCTAGCTTAACTTATTTGCTATAACGGTTGCGTTGATGATTATTCGCAGACGAACAATACTATCATCACCATGATGGCCACCGGAGAATCGATGAAGTTCGCTGCCGCCAGATTCGGTGGCGCGGGAGGTCTGCTGGACTGCAACTTCCCGTCGCTATACGTGGACGCGGTGTGGGCGAGATTCCGGCGACATCCGGGCGCCTTCACCGGCGGACAAATAGAAGGCTACGCCCGGGCTATGGCCCTGTCCAGGAACGTCCAGAAGCAGATGGCCGCAGTGACGGCAACTACGCCCGGCGGCAAGCCCAAGAAACGGTACATTTGCACGTACTGCGACCGAGAGTTCAGCAAATCGTACAACCTACTCATACACGTCAGAACCCACACAGACGAGCGTCCATACCCATGTGATGTGTGCGGCAAGGCGTTTCGCAGACAGGACCACCTCAGGGATCACAAGTAATAATAAAAACACAATATTATTTGCTGTAATTTCGCTTACGAATAAATATTTTTATTTATAAATTCATTCGACGTCGAGTAATTACTCCGTAGATAACTTAAATATCCTCCTTTTTAAGCGCATGTAAGGGGGAACGAAATCTTGTACCAAACATTAAACTCGTATATGCCTATGCACTGCAGTACACTGTCTAAAAGTCATAGTCAATTATATTTAAGTAATTTAGTGTTATGCAATCAAATTTTTCAAATTATGTACCTACATAATTTTATTACGTATAGACTACTATTTTTGTTTTTATATTGTGTATGTCATCCTGCATACATAAATAACTCACGATCATCGATAACCATAACTGCAGTAGTTGAATATATATATATATATATATATCATAATTTAATTTTTTCCAATTTAATCTCAAAATTAGTGTCCGTTGTGGCGTTTCTTCGAATCATTTTACGGGATCGACAAAAATAGTTTATCATATTATATATTAATATGTCAAGTTGGCTGATAACGGAAGTTTCACTGTATAATACTATAATCCAGTTTATATAACAATATAACTATATTAAGAATTATATTTTTTGTTTTAAAACAGTTAGAAACACAATCGTCTAACGTTATTACAACCTGTTTTTTTCAGATACGTTCACATGAAGGACAAACCTTTTTCTTGCGAATCCTGCGGCAAAGGCTTCTGTCAAATGCGCACGTTGGTCAGCCACCGAAAGAACGCACAATGTCAATGGTACCAATACCAACGTCACCAGGCGATAACTACGCAGATCTCTACAGGGACCGTCGGAAATGCTTCCACCGCCGCAGTGGCCGCCGTGGCATCCCCCGACACTGTCCGAAACGTTAACTTAACCGATTTCAGTATCAAAACTTTGCTGGGAATCGGCGACGACCAATAACATAGTAGGTAGGAGTAGAACGCCTGTGTACGCATTATGCCGGCTAAAATAAAGTTGGTTTACCATAAAATGTATAGCAGGTCCATACGGTGAAATGTACAAAAATAACGTAAATACAAGACGTTATACAATATTGTATTATTACTACTAGCCATTAATATTATTATTGCACTGTTATTATTATTATTATTATTATGTTATTAATGTGTATAATGTATATATATTATGATAAATGTATTGTATTTTCTACGAATAAATCGTTTAATATTGCATAGCAAGTTTATTATACTGTCATAGTGTCTTGTGAAAACAAAATCCATATTGGTATACCTTTACATTTATACATACCGTAGGTATATATTATTATAATAAACGTAGTGTTATTTTCTTGCGTATTTCGGCCAATTTAAAGAGGGCTTATTAACACATCGTATCCATTACTCGGATGTGTGTGATCGGTTGCATTAGGTATTTAGGTGTGAAATGACATCGAACACCACACGGTTCTCGGGACCTCCTTGGAGTCACCCAAGTACTAGGTAATATGTATATAGGTACACATAACACAATATATTTATAATATACAGTGTTCTACTGCACCCGACACGCAATGACCTACTACTATTGCAGGCGCTAYATAGAACATGTTATATACTCAAATAATAATAATAATAATATTTACAACGGTAGCCGTGGTACGGACAGGCGGCTCGAACTGCACCACTTGTGCGTATAATATTCGCGTTGCCGTTTAAAAACATGGTATGGTATTCTGATTTATGATAATGCAGAATATTATTATTATTATTATTATTATATCATGGGATAAATTGGCTCATTTGTCATCGTCAGTAATCTGCAGTGGTTGGTGTATATTTTTATTTATTATTATTAATAAATTCTCGAAAATATCATTACCATATAACCACATAAAACTGCAAATATTATTGAATCTAATTCTGCATAATATATTATTTCAATGATTACGTTGGAATAATTTWAAAAAAAAAAACTAAAGGGTTCGTTGCAAAGTTGATTTGTGTGGTAATAAGTACGGACGATTTACCCCCATGTACCCTAGTTACTATCGAAAAGAAGAGCTGATTTATGTGTAAATATTGTAAAACGTAAATTTCCGTTGGTCATTAGTTATTCAAGTAAATAGTTTTATACATTTTAAAGTTATATTAGTAGCTGGGTGGAGGTGGTGTCATTGAGGAGTGTATCCATATACATAAACTGCAGAGATAAAAAGGTGTGAGGTTATATTTGAATGCCAACTTAGTCAATTCCATACACAATTGAACATTRAATTTCGCCCAGGGTCCAGGAGTGTTAATTGGCTACCTACACTATGTAATGAACAGTGGCCATTTGGGTTTATGTACCTATATAATATATCCAGGTACAATTCGACCTATCTGACTATCCTAACTAGGATAGTAAAAAAACAAATAACTATTAATTTAAGTTAAAATTAACTTTATAAAAAGTATCGTTATTACAACTATACTACCTACATTATTAAATGTTATCGCAACTATTTTGARGTTTAGCCCCCTTACCCAAATATATATTTACTTTCCATATAATAGGTACAAATATAAATTAAAAAGTAAGCCATGACTTACGAATTTTGTTTTATTAGCAGATCTGGGTAATTTATAAAATTCTAGTTCCCCTCCCCAAAACAATCGACCTTATAGTTGCATCCATGGAGTTAAAATAACTACTGCAAATTTGGTTGTTAAAACGTATAGAAAAATGAAAAATATATTTAGTGCCGATTTCTGAATATTTTGTTCTATAAATGGGCATTAATTAAGGCGATTCAAAGTTAACGCCTAACCTACTGAGTCAGTATTTGGTTCCCTTACATATTATGTAAGTACCTTTTATCGTTTTAATTTKATCACTATCAATGAGATAATCAAATAGAACAGGCAATGCCCATTTGCGCCAAATTTATCTTGTAAACATTTTAGAATAAAGATTTTAATGAAATTCATACATTMAAAGACACCACGTACTTAAAAATTTTAATTTAAAAAATCAATATCAAATATCGATCAAAAAATACTAAAATGGACACGATAATAATCAATTTTCATTTTTATTTTCAACATAATAATGGTTACATGTAACGATGTAACTATTAAACGTGTTTATATTAAATTTTAATGTGCACATTTTTTTATTCAAACAATAGTTAGGGCTGTGTTATAGGACAAATAAGGTATATAAGACGCACTCTGTAGCCTAAGGCTGTAACAAACCTTGCGTCTGCTGTGCGATTTAAATACAATTATCTGCTATAGTAGATTATGTGATTCAGTGTACAATAATTGTACCTATATAATATAACATTTTTAAAAGTCTAAGGATGTTAACGATTTTCGTTTACATTTTATAAAAATATCATAACAATTATACATTACAAATCATATTATAGATATTTGAGGTAGGTATACTACCCTTATACCTCCTACTAGTACTACTCGTATATAACTATGGTTACTTTTTTGTAATATTAGATACGTGTTTATAGCTGTGGTACCTATATATACGCCGTGCAAAACGATGGGATTATATACGTTAAAGTGATGGTTTAGTCGGCTGCACACGGCAGGTAAAAGCCCGGTAGGACGGTTACATTGTATAAACGTGTACATGGGTACCTACACTCTATTAATTATTATATAATATAATAATATAACTGCACCAACGGTCGGGCGTACGCGTAATAACACAGAGGAGCGACAGACGGGACGACCGTAATAAACTGGCGAGCTTGTGGAAAATTGTAAAACGCCCTATTTATAATACTCATCGATATTATTACTGTGTTGCAGTTCGTCCATCTTATATATTAATATAATATAATGTTAAAACCATCATCGGAGATACTATTATTATATACAGCCGAATAACAACAATCGTGTTTACAGCTGCTGCATCGTGGGTCCATGACGGCAATACAACCGTTTTGTTATAATAATAATAATATAATGTATTATTATGTATAAGTACGTGAAATTACTGCGTTTAAAAAAAACATACAACGTTATATGTCTTAATATAAGAATATTCCCGTTTGCATTCGTATATATTTTGATTAAATGTAGATAGGTATTTGGCTTGGATAGTTTCGTAAAATTGTGAGATGAGATGACAATATTAGGATTTGTGTTATAATTCGAGAATATTATATTATTAATGTATACCTATCATAGGTAACCTATGTACCTTGTACTTTGTACCTAATATTATCCAATAACAATACGGCGGCGGCGTGCTACATTGAAATAAGAAGTAGAAAAAAAWAAATAAATTTAAACAAGCTCTGCGGACAAAATATTTTTTATTAACCGATTTAAGTTATTGGCCGTTTCAAGAATGAAATACGTTATAGATTAAACGTTTGAAACTCGATTTTGAAGAAAACTGCGCACAGTTGCGATGATTTATTAAAATAAGGGATAATAAATTCATAATGTAATACATATATTATACACGCGTAAAAAAATATAATATGTGAAACATTGCAATCGAATTAGGTTGGATGTGTCGTTGCAGATTATAACCACAGTATAAGTACATAATATATTATTATTCAAGTAAAGGCGGGTTTCCACTATACGCGTGTGTCGTGTACACGTAAAATGTTCACGAGGTTAATCATTTGGTAACCTAACCGAACCATCCAATCACCATAGGCGCAACTAGATAGACCTCTAAAACGTGGGGAGCTATACTATTAAAAACATAAAATTAGTTAGATATAAAATATCAAAGGGTGCTAAATTAGAACTTGGGGGGCAGCCCCGGGTGCTAAAGACCCTTTTGCACCCCCTTAGTTGCGCCAACGCCAATCACAGCAAATGATTTACGCAAATGAGCGTAGTGGAAACCCGCCTTAAGATTCACAGCTACATCGTGATTCGTGTCATAACGTTGAGCGCGCTCGTGGTAACGTAGTAAATTATTGGTATACTAGATTGCAACTCGGTTATTACGCGATACCMAAAAAATTAACGATCGACACACGAGGCAGAATGCGCATTTAATTATATCATTCACTGTGCATACCTGTGGTCTCTCAAGTGGTCCTGTCTGCGGAAAGCCTTGCCGCAAACGTCGCACGGGTAAGGCCGTTCGTCGGTGTGCGTGCGCTCGTGTATGAGCAGATTGTACGACTTGCTAAACTCGCGCYGGCAGTACGTGCAGATGTACCGTTTCTTTGGGCGAGACGACGTTGAAGAAGACTGKGACGTTGTCGTCGGCGGCAACGACAGGGGCTGCGGTCCGGCCGAGCAGGCTGTCGCCGACTTCCGACCGGCGGATTGTCCGACGCCGCAGATGGCCGGTACGGTGGACGGGCGATAGCTGGYGACGGCGCCACGGCCCCTGCCTGCTGACCGAGCGGCCGCTATCCTGTTCATGTGGTAGTAGTTGACCAGTACGTTTCGCCATTGATCGGAGTCCCGCCAAAACGTGGCCGGATTCAGCCATGCTGAGAGTGCGGCCGCACTGGCCATCGCAGAAGCGGCCACCGGCCTCCCACCGTTGATRCAAACGCGTCGCCTGTGGTCGGCCGCGGCTGACGGCGACAGTTGTGGCGGCGGCGGTGGCGTGTCCGGCCGTTCGACGTCCACTATCGCCTCCTCATCCGTGCTGGTCTCGTCCTCCGATTTTCCACAACCACCATACGAACGCAACGACGACGACGACGACTGATGTCTGGACACCAAATTCATATCCCGTCACCGAGTGGGTGATGGAAGTGATCTGGAAAAAGACACGATTATTTGWTTTGTTTATCTAATGGCCGTGAATGATGATGCACAAACAATATGCAATTTAAACAATATAACATTAACAAAAAACAMATAATTGACTACTATGTATAGATAATTAAATAATGAATTATATATTATGCGATTCCTAAGAATTATGTATTATTACAAACTAAAAAAAAGTGAGATGCTCRTTAGTAATTACTAATTTCACAAACACGCATTATGCGATCAACTGGATCCTCTCATGTTGAGTAGGCGCATTTGCTTTGATTAGCTTTAATTATAACATTTCTTAGTTATAGATTTACAACTATATACAAACTATATTGATCGTATAGCACTGCAGCAGTGCAGCATACACCTGTTTGGTGATTTAAATATCTTAAATATTTATTGAATTTTGACGAAAATAAGGTCAGACYGATCGGGATATTATATAATATGACGAACGAGGTATAATGTTTTGACATGCACAATATTAAAAAGAAATAAGTAGGACGTATACCGTGAACAGATTATTCGAGTATTGTGGTACAATACCACGGACCCAACTCATGCTTAATTTAAATYATCAAATATCTCGTGACCCAACTCAAAGTTGTCGAGAGTTTTGTGTAGGTACCTGCAATTAATAATGAACCAGTGACAATATGTACACATTTTTTTAAACCGCTATAAGGTTTATCCTKTGGAGTGGACGAGAATCGTGGTTGCAATTGCTCGGATGCGATGACGGCCAAAATGGTAGAGCAAAGTCCGACCACGACGGCCGCGAGTCTGACGACGGTTGACGGACAGCGACTATAGTACGCGATGCCGTGCCTTTGCGACTGTGCTGAAGACGACGGTTAAGGCGGTGACTACGATGACTAAAGCACGGAGCGAGCGAAAAAAATGTTAATGTCGGTAATGTTGAATCGGCAGGGATTGGAATCATCACGACWCGGTAGGCGARATTAAGTCACAGGACAAACAAGAGAGAGAATCCGAGAACCTGCACACCGTAACGCACCGCTGTTCTGRTACTCTTCGTGATATTCACCCTAGCGACCCGTCAGCGTATCATCTGTGTCAAAGGTATGCGTCATTATTCAATGGTCTGCGACCGGTGGTCAGGCCATGGAATTACTCGCAATCGTATACATTTCTATATACATACTTACCTTTACCTATACATTCATAATAATAATGTCATCGGTAAGTTATTATATTATTATAATTTGCCTACTAGCCTATACTCAGTCAATGCAAATAATATTAAATTTAATTATGCATATGACAACGTGTAACGGGATTTTTTCGATTAAAATTTACATATGACAACAGGGAAATATGATTAATTTTGGATTTAATTTTATATATTTCAGAAACTATTGCAACTTGCGTCAAGTCGATCACAATCATATTTTAGATTCATAATATTACAGACGCCGAAGATTCTCAACAGTCACATTATATGTAGTCAGCGGCTAAATAGCGACTATTATTGGTGYCTTTTAGACACAGAGYCCGGCTGTCCCTGCTTATCCGATTGATCGGAATAATAATATAATATTTTGATGCCGGCTGGAAACTCTGCGCTTCCACGTATCCGAGAATAATGGTCACATGTKACAGTCTTCAAGGCGTCTTCAACAGTCATATTAAAACAGTCTTCAGTGCATACTATGCCATCATATATAGGTATACGCGAAGCATACACGCCACCGCCGCCTCCACCGATTTCCTTATGGCCAGGAAAGTACTTTTGGATTGCCATTCTCCTTGGTGTGACTAGTCGCACTCCCACATGMATTATAGGCTAACATGCATCACCTGAAGTCCGGCCGGAAAGCTCAGTCCCGTTACCTAACCACCTATACCGCGACTTCGTGATGGTAGCGATTATACAGCGTATACTATATAGGGTCATGATTCACAGTTAAAACGTGCCGAGTGAATGGAATCTATGACCTATCGTGCAGACTGTGCTGACCAAACAATAGAGAGTCTAATAATTATACAGACATTAAACCGTCCGGGAGAGTTCAAACTCGGAAATAATGATGGTCGACCGTATTATTGTGATTGTCGTTCCTATAATATAGGTATACCTGGACGGGCTCGACGGGAAGTACATAATAATATAACCAGTCATCCAATCGCAAAAGCATAGTCTATTCTGCACTAAATTTTACCGCGATTATGGTAAAATCTGTTGCTCGCCGTCGGAAATGCGAAAGCGACAAGATAAATCTGTATGAAGCCGATCAGCGTTTAAATGATTTAATTAATTGTATATCGTCACGATTTTAAACACATATATCTGAYTWTTATCTAATAAACCGTACAAATGATGTTTTTAGCGTTTGCGCTAAGAACTATAARAACCAGTGTATAAGAATTTCTTATAGTATTTAATTAGAAATTTAACAATAGCGAAATAGGTATTATAGGCAGTTGGTCGATACGAAACCACATGCAATCATTGGCAGTAGAAAGAAACAATAATAGTTATAGCAAGTACCTAGTACCTATACTAGGTTATAAGTTTATAGCTTAGTTAGAACGCTTTCTTCAAAAATTTAAAATTTGTTTAGCTGGGTGTTATAAATTACTATTTACGAGGGATAATAATTAGTGATTCAAATACCTGAAAATATGGAGGTGAGTGTCCATTATAACTTCGATTAATATATTGCCTCATTTAAAGTTGTTTTGCTATGACGTCGTAGAATATTCTCGTGGTCCGTTCAGCATCGACTACAGTTTCATTTTAAYGTCTGTTATTTTCAGATTGTATGCAATTTAATTGCAGTTGACCTTGCATGTAATGCATACGCACTTACAGAATATTCTAAGGATTTTAAGATAATATTGTTATTTATTGACATGCCTATCATATGTACGCGGCTTGCAGTATAGTCGAGAGTAAATTTAATAAATTTACACAAATTAAGGCCACCCCCCCCCCCAATATTACTACAATATTGCTATAAACTAAATAATGACTAATTAAATTTGATATAAATTGGAATATAACATACAACTATACAAGCATATTTTATTAGTATAATTCTAGACTTGGTAATTATTACATTAAAATATAAGATAGCAATGAAACGCCAACATTTATTTTTAAATTTGTGTACCGTTTACACATTGATTTTGCAAAAACCATTTATTAGCTACCAGAGAAACCTATTTTATACATTATGCGTTGTCTGTRGTTATTTCGATTGATTAGTGATTACCCTATACACTTTACCGCGTGATCGAACTACTCGAGGATTATATAATCATAGCGATTAGCGACAAAAGATCGACTATTTATATGTGATGTTTTATAATTTTTTTCATTTATATAAATTATACGGTGTACACATTTTCGATTTGATAAACTGAACAACGAGCTAGTCGAGCTACGAGCCCATTTAAAAATATGTTGTCGGTAAATGGTAATTAACCATATTATATTAATTATTAATAGTTTATACTTTATAAAAACACATACAATCGAAAGCTAAACATATCAATTAACACAGAAGTATAGAACATGGATCTTAAAACATTCACGCAATAACCAAACGTCGTGGTTCTCCGTTAGAACGAAACGATATAATAATATAAAATATTATTATTTTAAAATTATTGTGTAAGTATCTAATATCTAGTAGGTACCTATATAATATGATAGTGATGCGTTGTGGTGATCATAAACGGTCTGACAAATGCCATTATCGTGATTTATGATATAATATTGTGTGTTCTTAATAACTGTAAAATAATATACAGATATACTATCATMATTTTATGTAATAATGTTTACACAAATTACTAGTGGATCAATTGTATAGCATATATTATAATTTCAGTTCAGCTGTGGACTATTGAGTAGCTACGTATATACTGTGATAATAACAATAATATTAATATAACGTCCGTATGGCCCTCCACTGCAATAGTAATATAATAAATAATTATGTACCGGGTTATCGCCTGACGCTCAACGCACTTTAGTATCATACATTCTCCAAAACACGAATTGACGAATATTGCGCTGGCGATCTGTTATTTCTTTTCATATATTTTTCTTAATTTCGCTTTAATTTTCGTGTCGGATGTTGTTTTTTGTGTCTTCAATCGTTTGTCGTTCAGTCGTTGGTTTAAATAACCAATAAGTAATAACACTATGTCACTATTATAGAAAGGTTATCATCGCGCCGAATGAGCTCCCGCCGACAGTCCGGACCAATGCTGCGTTTATCTCCTATACATAAAACACTGTTACACGAATATAATATAATATAATATAATATACCTAATACAAATTCTATATGTATAAGGTATACGATTATTAATAATTTAAATGTAAACGATAACAGAAACGGAGAAAAAAATCGAAATTTAATTGCCGCTAGTCTGCAGCAGCGATGTTTGATATTCCTATCGGCTATCGTCGTCTCGTCGTCGTCGTTGTCGTCCGTGCCGTCACTGCTCGTCGTCCAGACAATTATAATTCGTCACGGCAGCCTGCGGCGGCGTCCCGCGAGCGTACACAAAATGTTAAACGTCCCTGCTATTATAATGTATATTTTATACTATATACATACATATTGGATTTCGGTACTATATATACATTGTATATTAAACATAATATCTAATTTATCGACCATAAACACCCCAACACGGTTGTCAGACCCGACGAGGTTCGGACGGCGGAAGGTGAAAGACAAATCCAAAAACACCGTCACGGTCTTTCACGTAGTGCACATATATATTATATTTTTATATACTTATATACACGTACGGGCGTATACGTGCTTGCATGTGGTGGTGGTGTGTACTGTATGTCGTCTAAACCCTTTGAAGCAATTTATTTTTTTGTGTTGCCCCTGACCCCGTTTTTGATATAGATATTTTGTCGCGTATTAGTCTCTGTTCACGGTCCACGCTGGTTCTGCAGTATTATAGACATAATATGATATTATTTATATTCGTACAAGTCGTACAACACGCACCGCGTGTAATAAATACAACAATAATAATAGTAATAAGTATTTTGACACGGCGAAATGGACAATATAACATCAACGCAAAAGAGCGGAATAAAATATATAAATACAGGTAAATAAAGACGAGCTGGGCCAATAAAGTTGACGAAAAATAACGACGTAACGAGTTTATTTCAGTCAATGTCGTATGGTAAAGGTTAAGGTATCTCAAATATATTCTATTTAATCGTTCATTTTACTTACATTAAAATACACAGTCACATAGATAGTATTTTAGTATTATTGTTATGCAAAAGGTGCAGACGGTGCAGTTATAATAATTGTTATAGTGCGATGATAAATATATAGGTAAGATTTCAGTGATAGAGTATAGCGTATAGAGTGTATAGGTATTAAAATATAAATACCTAAATAAAATAACTATACTCTGAAACATTCCAAGTGGATTTTAAAACATTAACAAAAAATGGACTGATAAAAGAAAAAGAAAAAAATTAACGGTCAATTTGACTCGGACGATTGAATAAATAAAAATTAATCGGTTTTCCTGCTCTTAATTTTGTATTTATTTCTCAACAGTTCTTCGTTAATGCAATAATGCGTTGCATTATTTCGAATTGCATTTAAGTAATAGCTGGATTAATAAATAAATATTGCGCATATTATGCGTACTTTTAGAGTTTCCTCTAAAACTTAATTTAACGTTTTTATCTTACATACCTAGATATAATATATACATATTGATAATTCCATAAATTATTTCTGTGAAATTGTGTATTATTTTTTACAATATCCAGCAGTTAACTCAGTCAGTTATTATATATCATCGATTTATGATCCGGAATTCTGGAACACGAAAAATAATCGTAGGTACTTACTACAAAAATAAATGTTATTTTTTAGTTTTTTACATTTACCTACTATACTAAAAATATGTCAACAAATGCTTACACGTTAATATATAGTACCATATGCTATTGTAATATAACAATTTATTTGAGAAAAGMTTTGTTCTAGYTAAAAATAATACATAATATTATATTATAGAGTTTAAGTGTAATTATTACTCATCGGGCTCCATTAGACGTTTTGGTTTTAATATAGATTTTTTTTAATTGGATTTCAATTCAGTCTTGTAGAAGGTGAAGTCTTGTCCTCGTATAATAATTGTCAAATAAGTAATGGGTCATTGGGTATTTGGTTCCACGTATATGAATACCTATGACTATAATCAATAAATAATAAATATTTTACCGTATCAATTATTATACTAAAAGTTCTTATCTAAGTAAGACATATTCAATTTACATAATAACATATTTATATTATAATTTATTGTCAATTCTATTTCAGCTCACGGGTAAAATAAACAGCAATTATAATCATCGGTACTTATTGACATTTGCTTTGAGAAATGTTGAAGAAAAAAAAGTAATTTAACGACAAATATTTTAAAGCGTCAAAACAGCTTAAATTAAATTAGAATTATTTGATATTATTGTCTATTGATAAGGCATAATACACCATAATTTAAAAATTGAACAACAGTTTGATTGATTTATTTACAATGCAATATGTTTTTTAAAAACAAAAGTCTTGATTTTACGTCCTGTATGGGTTATATGGCTATATGTATTAATACTATTAATTATAAAACCATGCTATGTCTTTATGGTATAGRYAGGTATAAAATACATTTTTTTCACCAACAGTACACTTCCTTCCGTCGTTGCAAAATAAATATTTACCATTCATCAATAATCAATCTAGCAATACAATCATTAATTTACTATAAATTAAAAAAAAAAATATTTTAACAATTTATAATATTTTGTGAATTGATTTTTAAACCAATTATGATTAGGATTAAGATGTTCATAGTTTGCAATAATGCATTTTTTTAGGTTGTCCTAATGTATATATTCTTGGATGGGAATCTGTCTCATGATATCTAGATTAAAATACTAAACATAAGCAAATATTTATATTTAAATTTTTTTCTAAATTTAGTRTATAAGAACATATTTTGTCGTCTTCTGGTTTAACCACTTATCCATATTATTTTATGGGTTTCCTTATAAACATCAACAAAAAAATAAAAGCATAACTAACTAAAACTGAAACTTAGTTTGTATTTCTGTATTTTATATAGATTATAGATTATATTTTAATAATTATCACTTATTGTCGGGAATTCTATACTGATATTTRGAGATCTATACAGAATGTTCGATAGAGCTTGTAATTAAATAACTATTTAAAATCACGTTATTTAATTGTGTATTTAAAATATAGTGTTAAATGCTATTTTTAAACTTTTATGCTTATTTAGATAATTTTTAGTGCATAAACATCGAATCCCGATTATTAATTTATATATATAAAAAAAAATATTATTTATATAATACATGTTAGTACATACAATTTATAAATCGATTGAAAGCGAAACTACATTTATTAATAATATTAACTAATGCATTTTATATATTTATATGCGATTTGTTACACCCATAAGTTTAAAATAAGTGCGTCCCCCCTCCAAAAAAAAGTACCAATACATTCATTGTTTCACTCAAAATCTGAAATTTAAGCGCATACCTATTTTAACTACTCTGAAATTATGATAAGCTGCAATAAGTTTGCGGTCGTCATCGCAAGAGAATTTATAACTACGCCCGAGGGCATCTGTCCGGGCGTGATAGACATATAAACCCGTACGA